CAACCTCATTTTATACCATTTAGTTCTTTTAGGACAACACATAGTCTCTTCCCAAGAATCTTCATCACAAGATAAAGATCACAATTGTTTCATAAAGAAAGACATATCCAGTAAAAGATATATCCAACTTCTGAAGACAGAGGTTTTGTCCAGCTAATGTCCAGCTACCTCAGGTAAAGCGTCTTTTCAGCTTCTCTCAAGTCCTCATTCCTATTAATGGTTTCTCCCTAGACTCACTCCTCATAAAATTCTCACGAAATGTTTGCTAACATTATAATTGTTACTCTCTAGGGGCATAACAAATTGCTCCTATTTTGCCTATTCCTCTGATACAGTTGGATAGGGACTCATCTGTAGTTATGAACAAAATTCAATTTCCTTCAGCAACTTAAACAGTATAGTTAATTAGTGGAGGAACTACACATAGCATAATTATATTTATTTTTCTCTTAATAATAACCTTTTTTGGAATTTGCAGTTGTTATCTCTTTCTTTTCTGTTCTTCTTTTCCCTTTTTTTGACCACAGAGGCATAATGGTAAGTGTTTGGATGCTCCAAAGATTCTAGCAGTTTGGGAGTTAAAAGCCCTTTTCTGGACAACAGAGATCCCCAGCTGTTACAAATTAGGTTGATGAACCATTCCCTCAGCTCAACTTAGGGGGCTAATTACTAGCCATCATTTGAAATTAGATAGGCTGGACTTAGTGCAATAGGATACAGACTGAAAAATCAGACATAACTGAAGAGCTTCTTATCTTTTTTGAAGACTGTTTTGATCTAAACAAGTTTAGTAGGAAATGCCCTTTATGTGATTTATTTTTAATTTACTTGTTTGCTTATATAACACTGCCCAAGAAAGCCTCTTACTCACATGTTATAGAATTTTTTTTCTTCTAGATAACAGTAGTTTGCCTATCACAAAGGCCTGAGTTCTATATTATATTAGGTAACCTTGTAATTACTTAAACATAAAAATAGTCCAAAAATATTTCACTGTCCCTTTCCTGAATCATTGATTTAGAGTTTGTAGGGGCTTTAGTGGCTATTGAATACAATGCCTTAATTTTACAGATGAGGAAACTGAGGCCAGAAGGTGAAGTGACTTAGGTCACACAAATAGTAAATGGTAGAGCTGGAATTTGAGCCCAGGACCCTAGACTCCAAATTCTGGGACAGATTTTTTTTAACCCCTTGTATATTACAATGAACTGAAATTTTATCTTCAAAACATACTGGAATGAATCCTTCCATGGACCATGAAGTCTGATTAAGAAGGGGAGAAGTAAAGGTCTCCCAGGTGAATCAAAACTTTTCTGAATTCCTAGGCTCTGATTCAGATTAACTTTAATATATATGATATGCCATATGGTAAACTAGGAGCACTTCCTCCCAAATCTCATGGAGGGTCACCTAGAAGAGGCTACTTAGGCTCCAAGTACTCCGTGGATCTGTATTCACTCAATATCATAGCTTATAATCTCTCACTTTTTCTTCTGAGGACATAATTAGTACACAGCAAAGGCACTTAATGAAATTGCATTAAAAAGGAGTAATAAATGCTTCCTCCATAAGCCTAGGTCATAATCCCTTCCAAATATACTCACTATCCATGGCAAGAATGGACATACATACGGCACACATGTCAAGATGCCTACGTATAAGGAATGTACGTGGCCAAGGAAAGTCCTCTGACTGGCAATGCACAGCTCAAGGGCTTCACTGTTCCTTACTGGTTTCACATTTCTGCAGTCTCTGCCAAGCATGTTGCCTCTGACTGGTGTTCGAGGGTGGCATTTAGTCTCTGCCAGATGTCAATTCCTGCTAGCCTTGTGTTGCCTCCACCTTTCTGAGGGTTCCTGCCAGGATTGCAAGAAGTTGGAACCCTTCCCTTTACTTCTAGCTTTCCCTAAAGTCGACAGCTCAGGTGCTACCTCAGAAACAGATACAGCTTTTTTTTTTGTGAAAGTTTTTTTTTAACAAGTGACTTTATTTATTTATTGTTTTGGTGAGGCAATTGTGGTTAAGCATCTTGCCCACAGTCACACAGCTAGTGAGTGATATATGTCTGAGGTTGAATTTGAACTCAGATCCTCCTGACTCCACGGCCAGTGCTCTATCCACTGCGCCACCTAGCTGTCCCAATATGGCTTTTCTTGAAAGGCTAACTCTAACACATCCAGTCATCAGGCTAGGGAAAAAACCAAAACCAAAACCCAAAACCTTCAATGCCTTTTCTTTTCATACAAAGAAAACTGTTTCTCTAAGCCTTGTTTAAAATGTATACTTCCTCTCCACAAGAAGATTCCATGTTTCAGGTCAAATTCTTTGGAACAGAGAGCCAGACCCATTCTCGATAGCCAGTATGTATCTTAAGTTTTATTTCTGTTTTATAAAACTGTATTTCCTAGTTATCAGGGGCCTAGATCTTTGTTCTCTGTCACAGGCTTCACTCTGATTTAGGATCAGAAAGCCCATGTAATTCCCTGTTCAGTTTCCAATTGCCAAATTTGTCTTGAGTCAGCCATTCTAGCAAACTAACAAAAGTTCACGGTTGCCAAGTTCTCCAAGTCTCTTTCTTATGCAAAGCAGAGAAAGGCATAGGAACAAAACTACCTCCAGAGAGAAAGGTGACTGTTTTCATCATGCTTAGCTTATATTCCCTCAACTTTCAAGTATGCAGTGGGAAGAATAACGTAAGAATGATTGCTAGCTCTGCTTCTATTTACTATGTATGTGTGACCTTGGACATGTAACTAACTCTCAGGCCTCATTTTCCTCATCTGTAAAATGAAGTTTGAATAGATATCTTCCAAGGTCTCCCTCCACATCTTTGATCCTATGACTGTCTGGTTATGTGGCCACCACTGAATGGTACACTTCTCAAATCAGTACTTGTTTCAGGAGAAACTTTATGGTAGAAAGGTATTAAAGATGGTGGCATTTTGAGAAGCTATAATAGTTCACTCAGAATCCCATAAGGATTTAAACAGTCAGCTAGAGAAAAGGAAGTTATGATTGGGGAGCCATTATAAGATCTTAGTCAGCAGATTAAAAGTAACAGTTGTACCAATACAAAGAGGAAGAAAGGACACTTAATCTAAATTGGTAAACTTGCATATGTTAGGGGTTTAGTCTCTTCAGCTTTGATTCTACATGGTACCAAAAAGATATAGACTTTAATAATGCCAGGGCAAAGTGTCAGGATTTGGTGAGGTTTCAGATGTAAAGAAGGAAAGAAAATTGAACAGATATGTTGTGACAAGTAATACATTTTGGGCGTAGGGGCGGGGAAGATACCCTTTCAAAGTCAATTCAAATTGTAAATTCATGGAGTATGAGAATCAGTGATCACTCTTATGACCACTCTCTTGACCATGATGACAGTCTGCCCTGTATTTTTATAGCACTTCTTGACTTTCAGAGTGCTTTCATAAAGAATCTAATTTTATCACACTAGCAGCCCTTTGAGGAAGGAAGTTCAGAACTAGCAAAGTTGTTTTTGAAAGTTTTCAATGCTGAATCCATGAAGAAAAGACCAGGAGGGAGGCAGAAAAGTAATGGAACCACAGATAATTTCAAGGAGGAGGAAGATCTTCAGGAGAATAGCACTAATAGGAAGCTGGACAGCATACAACAATTAGGATAAGTTTATTTTGCAGAGAAGATAATGTTAGTGTGTATGTAGGGAACAAAAACTGGAGTGCCAGAGATATGGAAGTGATTAAAAGCAATGAAAAGGAGGAAGAATAAGGATCTACAAGGGAAATGCTTAGAGAATCTCATGGACACTGTTAGAGCTAGAAGGGAACTTAAGAGTCAATGTCCTTCAACTCTTTTGTGGATAAAGAAAACTGAGGCAGAGAGGTAAAATTACCTGGCTAAGGCAGTTTACAAGGGGCAGCTAGGTGGCTCAGCAGAGCCAGAATAGACCTGAGTTAAATCCAGCCTCAGACATTAGTTATATGACCCTGGGCAAGTCACTTAATGGCTGTTTGCCTCAGTTTCCTCATCAGTAAAACAGGGATAACAATAACCCCTTCCTCCCAGGGCTGCTCTGAGGATCAAATGAGACAATAACTGTAAAGCACTTAGCATGGTTCCTGATACATAGTAAGCACTATATACAAATGTTAGCTAATGGGATTAGGGACGTGTCAGAGCTGGGACAGGAACCCAGATCTCTCCAGCCTAAGGCTTTTGCCTTTACATCAGGCTGCCCTGAGGTTGTTAAAGCTAAGGGGCATGTTTAGGAATTTCCCCCTTTTCCCCATGATATGGGGGTTTAACCTCTTTAACTTTGACTCTACATGGTACCAAAGCGATAGAGATTTTTTATGGAAAGTCTGTATGGAAAGGTCATCGAATATAGATCCTGAGGATTTTGGGGATGTGAATCCTGCCTGATCTGCGCAAGTCACTTTCATTGGGTGGGCCTCAGTCTTCACTTCGATAAAATGGATGGGATGGCTTCTTCTAGTTCTTCAACTTATGGAGTGCTGAAGCCACAAACGGGAAGTGGATTCTGAGATTTCCACGAGAAGGTATGGGCAGGGGGTGGAAAGCTGGGGTCTGCTTTCTTAGGCTGTTTGGGATGGTACTGTGAGGAGAGAGAAGATGCTCAGAGACTACTTCTTGGAGAGAACGAACACCTGAGAACACAAAACGAGGAGGGGGAAGGGTGAGGGACAGGGAAAGAAGTGCTCCCTTCCCTCAACCTCCTGCACCCACCAAGGGTTAACCAAGCCACCCAAAGACCCGTGCGCATCCCAGGCTCCCGCCTCCTCCCGTTGCTAGGAGACGCCGGAAGTGGAGGAAAGGAGGCGGGGGCTGGGAATCCGGCTTTCAGGCCCTAGGGTCGGGAGCCGGGAGCGGAGGGCGCTGGAGCGCGTGCCTCCGCCCGCGCGCCCCCGTGACCGGTCTCGAGGCCGCGCGCGCTCCGCCCCCGGCCCCTCCCCCTCCCCCTCCCTCGCTCGCTCGCGCCCCCCTCCCCACCTCGCGCGCAGCAGTGGGTGTTTCTGGCTCTTCGCGAGTTGCCGCCGCCGCCGCCGGCGCTGCTCCTCCTCTGCTGTCTTGGGTTTCCCTGGTGCTGCCGCCGCCGCCGCAGTTCAGTGTGAGGAGAAGGAGGATGTGAAGATGGCGGAGCTGCAGATGCTGCTGGAGGAGGAAATCCCGGGGGGCCGCCGGGCCCTGTTCGATAGTTACACTAACCTTGAGCGAGTGGCCGACTACTGCGAGAACAACTACATCCAGGTGCCCGGCATCCCCCGGGCCGCGGCGGGCTGGGGGAAGGGTGCGCGGCGCTGCGGGGGGGCGGGCGGCGCGCGGGCCGGGGCCGGGGAGGCTCGGCTGCACCGGGCGGGCAGCCGCAGTGCTCCCGGGGACCCAAGCCGCCCGACGGCAGCGAGCTCGGGGGCCTCACGGATCCCTGCCCCTCCCCCTCCGCTTCCCTTCCTCCTCTTTCCCCCTCCTTCTCCATCTCCTCCATCCCCTCCCCCTCGTCCTCTTCCCTATTCTCCTCCCTCTTTTCTGCTCTCTCCCTCCTCCTCCTTTCTCCCCCTCCTCCCCCCCTCCGTCTCCCCCCCCACCGTCTCCCCCCCCCCCAGTCCCTGGCTGCTTGCTTTGGGGCGGGGGTTTGGTGGGGGGGCTGTGATGGTGGCTGTAGGGCTTTGCCTCTTGGCGCTTTCCCCCGGGTCGGGGTGGCACGGTGGGACGGACCTGGTGATTGGGGAGGGGTCAGGAGGCTGAAGCTTGGAAACACTTAACCAGCCGCGAACGAATCCCCCACCTGGTGCGTGTGTCATGTCCCTGCCCCCTCGTTTCTCCTCCCCCTCTCCCAGCCCCCGCACTTGAGTCTTGTCACCGCGTTTGGGATCGTGGGGGAGGCTGAGTGGCATTTTAAACATTCTCCATCACCCCCTCCCCAGTGTCTTTATTTGGTTGATGATTTATTTATGATTCTTCTTTTCATTTTTGCTGTTGGTGCCCCGTGCCCTCCTCGCCCCTCCCTGCGCTTTAGATAGTTTCGCGGTGGGGAGATGGATTGTTGCTGCTCAGTGCGGTGCCAACACCATTCACTGGGCTCGTGGATTTTCAAAAGGTCTTTTTTTTTTTTTGGCTAACAAGGAAACGGTGGGAAAACACTTGTTTCTTGATGAAAGTTGTAATTTTTTTTTTCTCAAAAGCTGCACTCTAAAGAATCACTCTTCTTCAGGTAAATGACTTTTTTACCTTTGGGAAGGAGCCTTGTACATACTTGACACAAATTATTTTGAAAGGAAAGAACTCGTGCCTTCATTTCTTTCAGTTTTTCAACTGGTGGACTGATTGGACAGTGAGAGACAGGGAATCCGCTCCTGTGATAAAGCACAGGTTTATATAAAAGCACAGATACCTTTTAAAAAGCCTCTTTTCCCCTTAAGGAATGATTTCTTTGGAAAAATTTGTTAAATGTAGAATTTCTGAGCTAAGTACCCTTCACTTTCCATATAGTTTGTTAATTTTCAATTACAGGTCTTCCATTTTTCTTTCTTTTCTCTGGGGATAATGGTGGTAGTGGAAAATGTATGAAAATGTTTCCTTACTGTGTTTTTTCCATTCTCTTTGTTCACATTTGCCCTTAACCTTCAGATGCAATATAAAATTAATAAAGAGAAGTTCAGGGTAAAATTTTATAGGTTCACAAATATTTGGATGATATATGTGATTGTAAGGATATGAAAGGATTGTAAATGTAAGGTTTAGTTAACTTATTAGCATATATGATGACTTTTCACAGTGTTTTGTAGGGAACATTTCTACTCAAGACTGATTTAAACCAAAAGATTTTTCTCATGATCAGAGACAGTTGAAAGAAAAGAAGTTCTTGTCAGAATTGGAAACATTACTGGGCAGTTTTTTTTTTCCCAGTAGGAAAGTTGTGGGACGGAGGAAATTTCATCTGATAGTGGAATGAAGAGATTTGGTGGATTAGAGGGATATCCTCAGATAGACCGAACTATTACTGCTGGTACCCACTTTGGAAGAGTTGGTAATATGTTATAGAAAATACGGAAATGAAGATTAGGAAGAGGAAAGAAGTGAATGGCTCTTTTTTCCTTTTAGGTCATGCCTGCAAACTACACTTCTCTTTATTGAAGGTCCCTAGAATAAAAAGTTTTATTTCTTTATGAATTACAGTTGTTAGTGAAAGGCAAACTTACGTGGAGTAATAAAGCTTAGAAATTAAATGAGTTATTGGTGCTCCAAGAAATCTTCCTTCTCTCTTCATTCCCTTGCCAGTGAAAGAGCTGTACAGTAAATTTTGTACTTTGTCTAGCTAAGACATTGAAAAAAGATAAATGTAGCTACAAAACATTACATTATTATCCTGACACTGGGATTCCAGAAATAATTCCTAGATACGTGATCAAAGTTCAAACAAAAGACTATCAATACTTAATAATAAAGATTTGAAAGTATTTTACAACTAGATAATATTTTATTTTATGAAGTAAATATGACAGTTTAAAAACCTTATACAATCACCAGAGCTCAGTAGCTAAAAATTTTGTTCTTCTAATTATAAAATCAGGAGCTCAGATATTAGGCTATACATGATAGCTTTAGTAAACAGAACGTGTGCTTTGATTTCAACTGAAGAGTGTAGTTTTGTACTGATCCTTCCATACTCTTTGCTTAGTTTTCCTAGTGACCAAAGAGTTGGCAGGTAGGGATTGGTGATGCATTGCCATCTAAATCATTAAGTTCAATCGTTATTAAACTCTTACTACATGCAAATCACAGCCATTTTCCAAAGATAAAAACCATTAAAATCTTTGCCTGATAGAGACTTAAGGATAGTTTACTAGAAGGAGGATGTGACCTGTGAACAAATAAGTATGATACAAGATGGATTGTTGAAAAGGCCAAGGAAAGGGGCAGCTAGGTGGTGCAGTGGATAGAGCACTGGCCCTGAAGTCAGGAGGACCTGAGTTCAAATCCAGACTCAGACCAAACACTTGACACTTACTAGCTGTGTGACCCTGGGCAAGTCACTTAACCCCATTGCCTTAAAAAAAAAAAGAGAAGGCCAAGGAAAGATCTGAACAATATACTATAAGAATATTTGAGGAAGGAGAGGTCAGTTTTGGAGGAATCAGGAAAAGGTGGCATTAAAACTGGAATTGAAGGAGAAAAATTTCAGTAGATAAGCGAGATTGTTCTAGGCATGGAGCTTGGTCTCCATGGATGTACAGAAGCAGGAGAATGCAAGTCAGGATCACAGACCAGTTAATGCTCTCTTTTCTCTGGAATTCAAAATTCTTTGGAACCTGAAGGGGAATGAGATAATAATGTGAAATAAAGAAAGGTATGTTGGACTCCAATTGGAGTCTACACTTCTGCAATTAGAAGGCTTTAAATGACAGGATAAGGAGTTTGTAGTCTATCCTAGAGGTAGGTAGGTAATCTGGAGCCAATGAAGGTTTTTGAGGTAGAGGTAACATGGTGACAGTGTATCATGAAGATTATTTTAGCTACTGTATTGGAGGGGAATAGAGACTTCAGTCAGGAATACTAATTAGGAAGGTGTCGTATGAGCTTGTGACCTAAGGTGAAGACAGGGTAACTGTAGGGGAGGGAGTAGATGGAAGATATTAGAGGTAGAATTGACAGGACTTGTCAGGTGATTGGTAGGAGAGTAGAGGAAAGCAGACAATCTCAAGTAAGTTAGAGTTTTCCAGCTTTTGTCACTAGGAGGTTAGCATGCCGTCAACAGTAATGGAAAAGCTGAGAAAAGCATCAGGTTTTTGATGGAAGGTGTTGTAGAGAGGAAATAATGAGTTGAGTATTTGATGTAATGAATGTAAGGTGCAACAGGATGAGCAATTGGAGATGGGAGACTGGGTCAGAGGAGAGATTAGGGCTGAATTAGGTACATAGATTTTGGGCAGCTACGATGCTTAGTGGGCAGAGCGCTGGGCCTGGAGCTCAGAAGACCTGAGTTTAAATCCTTTCTCAGAGCCTTACTACCTGTGTGACCTTGGACAAGTCCGCTTCAGTTTCATTATCTGTAAAATGGGAATAATAATAACATCTACCTCCCAAGGTTGTTGTAAGGATTAAATCAGGTAATAATTGTAAAGTGCTTAGCACAGTGCCTAGCACATAATGAGGGCTATATAGATATTAATTATTAGCTATTATAATCTGCAAATAATTGATAATTGAAGCAATCAATCAAGCCAAGGATGAGATTACCAAAGGAGAACATATGGAGATAGGATAGGATGGAAGTATAAGCCTTGAGGTGTACCCATAATCAAGGGGATAGGAAGGAGAAAGATGAACCAGCAAAGAGGACCAATTCAGAGTAATCATGCAAATAGATGGAGAACCAAGAGAGCTAGTGATGTCACAAGCCTGGGGGAAAAGAGAATATGAAATAGTCAAGAGTATAAGATACTACAGAATGGTTAGAAAGGATGATGACTAAGAAAAGACTCTTAGATTTGCTAATTAGAAGGTCAGTAGGCCCGGCCTAAGATAGCTTTCATTTTGTTTTGTGGACAAGTGAATTTCAGCAATGGAAACAATAAACAGAAACTTAGTGATCAGTCAGGTGTAATAAGTGGCTATTCATTATTTGATTGGACAGTTTTTCAGGTTTATGTCAAAAATTCACAAATAAGATATTTGGCAAATTGTGTAGAAAATATGTAGAACAAATGAGATCAGTAATTTAAATATCCTACTTTAAAAATTTTACATTTTACTTTAAAAAATGAGAAGAGAAAGGACAATTATTAGGTTTTGTCCTTTTGACAAAATTTGTACTGTACTTTAACCTCAACTAAGCCTTTCCTGCTACTAGGCAGTCCTGCCTTACTTCCCTTGTCAACTTACTATCCCACTCTCCACAACAGCTCTTCCACACCTTTTTATCCATCTGTCCTCAAACCTCCCTTGGCTCCCCCACACCCCCTTCCCCTAATCTTTCAGCTGAGAACTTTCCCTTATATTTTACAGAAAAACAAATGAGACCATTCACTTTGGCTTTCTGTCCTCTTCCTCATCTCAGATGCCTTCTTCACTCTCCTTCACCCCGTTTCACATGGTGAAGTAGACTTACTCCTTACCAAAGCTAGTAAGTCCTCTACTTGTTCAGGTGATCCCATTCCATCCCATCTCCTCCAACAGGTTACCTTTGTCATTCCCATTCTTTCACTTATTTTCAGTCTCTCTGTCTGCTGGCTCCATGTGCCCCTATCCTG